CCTTCATCGATGTACGAAACATTGAACATGTTAGTGATTGATGAATCAGTTAAAATGCCATCAAGGTCAAACGATTCCGATAACGCCATCGCTACTACTTCGGGCTTTCTTAGCTACAACGAAAAGTTCAAGAAAATCAAAGTTTTTAAAATATGTGTTGTTGACAAACTTTACGTTTTTCGCAAGTGCGGAAGATATCTGACGTCTTTTCCGCAATTGACGTCGATTATTAATGAGACGTTGCTCAAAATCTTCTTCTTGACGGGTTTTTTCCACAGAACACTGCAGTTTTGCAGAATGAAACTGTCGCAAACCAATAAATCTAAATGAATTAGTGAAATAGAAAAAAGTTCATGATGGGAAGACAACGAAAGGAAAATTTAAAATCTAGATAGTATGCGGAAACTGTTCTTTCGTTTCACCTCAATGAAAGATACCTAGGAGATGTCGTTCTTGAACATGATGGACGAGCTGCAAATTGCAAGAGCGCAAGAAGAGAACGCCTAATCATGGCCAATCCTGTAAAATAAGGGCAAAACAAACATCTAGTCCCATAACTCCTCAAAAATAACACGAATGCCGACTTGGTTTTAAAAAAAACTCAAAAGATAAAAGCCAAGTAAATATTTATAATTATAGATAACTTAAAGAATGTAAGGAAAAAAGCATCAACGAAGAAATGACACGGAGTCCTTCTTTGAGGCGTCGAATAAATTGTTTGACGGGTAAAGTGCAGACTTTGCGCAGGCTGTCACATTCCATTGCAGAAGGACACCCCCTCATAACACATCTTATCCATTTTTTGCGGCGCTTTTTACCTAAGCCGGTTTAGGGACGGATCCTAGTTTATGAGCTAAAAAGAAGCGCGAGTTAGCAAGTGGAAGTGTTGAAATACGGGCGTTTTTCGAGTTTTGTTAGTTCGTGCTAATCTGCTAATGGCCTAAGAACAAAAACTGATAAGGTGTCGCGTGTTACATTCTTTCCACAGAACAGTAGTAATGAATTCAAGTGTAATGTTATGGTACGCTGTGCCTCGCCTCTCCTTCGGAGTGGTTCGCACTAACCTTCTGACATCTATATAAGAATAAGGTTACAAAATTATGCCACATTTACCAGCGCCATATGCATCCATTGCAGTCTACGATGGGCAGTCAATTTGCTTTCCTTTCATTAAAGTCGCTTATGTTTTTACAGAAATGATCTTGACTGATAACTTTTCTTGCCTCATAAAGGAATAAATTTCGTGACTCACGCCACAAATACACATTCAACCATACAGACACAGTGAGTACGTTTATCAGTTATACTACTCTTTCCCACCGATATCTCCATTGAACTTATCAACATGGATTTTGTCATGTTAATATGTGATTGCGTACTATACAATGTACAAAAGAAGTATGAGATTGGCGGATCTGAGAATAAGTTTACCCAATCAATCAATCACTACTTATGATAGACGACCTTCTTCGCTCTTATTCACTATACTAATATTCGTCTATTCAAACCTTTATAAAACAATAGTGACTCTTTATGCCTGGTGGAATTGTACTAAGGATCCTTGTGGTAGGCACCTTAGTGGCAGCCAAGATTTGACACAATCCCGAAATTAGCCGATGCACTTCTTCATACACAGTGAATTCGCGTTATGTTTTTTTGTTTCCCTCATGACATCGCGAATCTGAATATTTAGGGAAAAAGAGTTGTTAAGCAGTATTTTTTTTTCGACAAAACAAAGAAAAAAACACGACCAGCTTGAACTCAAAGTAGTGGTCGCTCACTTTTTCGACTCAAAGCCAGCATTTCTCAAGAGACATCGAGAAGCTGCCTGAATAGGTGATTGACATCGAC